CAGTGTGAAAATTAGTCACCTTTTTTTCAGTGTTATTGTAATTTCAAATGGTCACTAAGTGAACTGTTATAAGTCAAGGACTATCTGTACTCCTAGTTTGATTTAGTCGGGCACAGCTTGATACAAGTGTGGGGCGGGGGGGTTGCCCCCACCCCACCCCATAGGAAAGTCTCCTTTAAATCAGGGGTCTCCAATCTTGGCCACTTTAAGACTTGCGGACTTCAACTCCCAGAATTCCTTAGCCAGCAAAGAATTCTGGGAGTTGAAGTCCACAAGTCTTAAAGCGGCCAAGGTTGGACATCCCTGCTTTAAATCACGGAAAACAGATAGAAAAAGAGGGAGAAATTTTATCATCCATCTTTCTTTCTTGCTGGCAGCCAGAGCCCGGAGTGATTTTGGGGGGAATCCTACAGAATTCAGAAGAACAGAGTTGGAAGGGACCTTAAAGGTCTTCTAGTCCAACCCCCTGATCGAGTAGGAGACAGTCCCACGTCACCCTTTAGGAGAAAAACTGTGTTAGCCTGCAGGAATCGAACCCCAGGAATTTTGCAGGTGACCATTTTGACTCGAAGCAGAAGGTTTTGTGAGCTGCGCTTTCCGTCTTTCAAGGAACGTTGCGGATCCCAAAAGATCCCACCGGAAACCCCCTCCTGCCTTTTCTGGATCAAGTCCCTTAGCTGCCCTTCCAACAGTTTCTTTTCTTTCCAGCTCCTTTCTCCGCGTTCTTTCCTTTTCACCTTGAGAACAAGGCAAGAACGGGGCCGATGATGCCGGCTCCCACCAATCGCAGGTGCCAGCTTCTCCGTCCGCGGGGAGACCCCCTCCCCAACTCGCCCACTTGCCTTAAGCAATTAGAGGGGGGGCGGTGAAGAGAAGGAGGGGGATTTTTTTTCTCTCTCCAGAAGCTGAGCTGCTTGCTGGGCTGGCCTCCAGCCCAGATACGGCGCCTGACGTGAGAGTGACAGCTGTCTCCTTCCACGGGGCGCCTGGCAGAATATGCAGGGCACGGTTCATCCTTTGGCTATAAGGAGGTGGCCAGAACGGCGGGTGAGTCACCGGAAGGATGTCTGGAGGACGTGCCGTCTCTGGACGAGGTCGTCCGAAGTCATGACGTCCCCCCGGGACTGGCGAGTTGTCGCTTCTTGGGGGTGGCCGTTTTCCAGCCCCTTTCGCTCCTTCCTTCAGGACACGCGAGGAAACCACCCCAGAATTGGGGGACCCGGGGTTGCACCGTGCCCGCCGCAAATGGCCCCTGTTGTTTTTCCTCTGGGGCTCAGCCAGGAGAGGAGACATTTCCCACGTTCTCATCCACCCAAAGTCGAGCTGAGAACAAGATGAGCAGACCCAAACTTGGATGTAGAAATACACATTTATGAAATATTAGCTCTATACCCATGTGCTCCGCTACGAAACTATGTGGTGGGGCTTCGTTTTGGGGGGAGGAAAATAAGGAGAAAAAAAAATCTGCCTCTGCCTACCGGCATCCATCGGTATTCATCTGGCTAGCGTCCTGTCAGTGTGTGAGGGAGTTGAGGGCTGTTTGGAAACTGAAAAAGTATTTGCTGTGTGAGCAAGAAGGAGACAACAAGGAGCCTGGGCGTGGCTTAGCTCAACTGTTCTGGACTAAAGCTGATAGCTGCCATGAAATTAAACCTGAAACTCCTCTGCTTGGATTTTGCCTTTCGAAGAGATTTCTTTCCAGGTGGGGAGGGGGAGTAGAAACTCCTTAGCATCAGAGCGTGTTAATAATAATAATAATAATATAGGAAATACTCTAAATGCTCTGATGGTCATTTCGAAAAATTCTTTCTTAGGGAGCCCCTAGAAGCCAAAAGGAACATAGGTGCCAAATTTCAGGTTTGTAGGCTTTACAGTTCTGGAGATTTTGTGATGATGTGTGAGGGGTCTTTCGCTTTTAGATAGATAGATAGATAGATAGATAGATAGATAGATAGATAGATAG